CTGGTTCAATGCTTGAAAGGCAGACTTCCAAGGACAGGGGCGGGGGGGAGGAAACCCAGCGCCAGGCAGAGCGAGAGCCGCTGCTGCAGCTTCTTTGCTGAGCAGGTAGCGCCCCGGCCTGGCTGCCCCTCCCACATGGCCGCCTCCGTGCCCCGCCCCGGCCCTGGGAAAGGCGGTGCCCCAACAGGAGCCCCGGGAAGCCAGAGGGCAAGCAGTGCCGCCACCAGCAACGGTGAAAGAGCTCTGAGCGCGCCTTCTCTGCCGGGGAGGGTGGGGGGAGTGCCCGAGCCCGCTGGCCTGCACGCCTCGCAGGGAGGGAACGCTTCCTCCCTCCCTGCCCCCCTCCCCCACCTGATGAGGCGGTGGAGGCAAAGCGAGGTGGCAGTAAGGGGGACCCAATGGGCGCCCAAAAAAACATGCTGGGGTCTTATAGCCTTATCAGTGTTGAGGCCCTCCTGCTGCCGCCACTGCCGCCTCCCTCCCCCTTCCCCCAACCCCAGCCCCGGCTGCCATCCCCCCAGCAGAACTTACTTACCTTCCCAGCTGGCTGGGGCGCACCACGTACGCAGGCAGCCAGGGGATCAATGCGCCCATGGTGGCACCAGGGACAGGTGCACGGTGGCACAGAGCGGCATGCATGCTGCCACCGCCGCAACACGAGCAGCATCTTTGGGCAGGGTGGGGGCTTTTGGCGGGGGGAGGGCAGCAGCCTGCAGGGCAGTTGGCGCCCTGCTTGGACCTCCACCCTAGGTGAGAGACTAGCTGGCCTAGTGATCCGACCCTGCCTCCTTCCCCTCAGGCTCCTAATTTTCTATTTTTGCTGTCTCCATTTCTACCACAGCTTCTGTTTTATTTATGTTCCTCCTCACCAAGTTTGGCAGCAACAGAACAAGTGGCAGTTTGTTTATTCATTCATTTATTTATTCATTCATTCAACTTATATCCCACTCCTTTCATGGCGGCTTCCAACAATTAAATATACAATAAAATCAGCATTACAGTTTTAAAATCTAATTTTTCAAGTTAAAAGCATAACAAACTACTTAAGTTCACACCAGTGAAAAAGTGGACCAGGCTACATGGCTGGCTCATTACAACAGACTGGGGGCGGGGGGGGGGGGGCTAATGCCAACTCCACCATGCAACTCTGAAAGGTGCAGCAATAGAGACACAGTGAGGCAAGAAGGCTATGTCATCAATCCTATGCTTCCTGGTCTCAGAGTGCCATTGCCGTTCCCACTTTTGATGGCTCAGGTACAGTCTTACATGTCTCCATGATGATGTGGGAGAGGACCCTGAGCTATGGGTATTTGGGATTCCCCAAATACGCTGCAAATATGGGAGGGGCTGCAATACATCTGCAGGGCTGATGCTATGCAGGCACACAATAGAAGAACTCATGCAGCTCTTTTTTCATGCTTCGTGTGGCTTGTCCTGCTCTGACAGAAGTGGAGGGCTACACACTGCAAACAGGTCTGAGCACTCTAGGTGAAATAAGGACCAGAAAGCAAAACTTGTCACAACAGGAGGAGCCCTACACTTTTGCTGGAGACAGGGTTATGTAAGAAGAGGGGATGTGGGAGCTAATTTTCAATCATTTCAGATAATTTGCTTAACTCTGGTGGCAAGACATCAATGTATAATTTTGTTAAGGTACTCTGCTTTGGAAAGAGCTCTCTGATATGAATATACAAATAATGAAGTCCACCTATTCCTTAGGGCATGTGTGCTACTGGGTTTTGTTTTCTGTAAAGTGTCTTTCCACCCATGGTTCATAAACAGGATTCCCCTTTAAAGAGGAATTCTTCCGTCAGGCAATCTCATATTCATGCATTATTTTCTGGACAAAATTCTACTCTGTTTATAAGCAGCACTGGTGTAGCAAAAATAAGGACAAGCTCTGTGTTAAAGAATATCAGACAGTGTCTTAGATGTATTCCTGGAACCTGCACTAAACACATTTCTGCGATCCACCCATATCCGTACACAGGTCATTACTATGGGCAGCTTTCATCCCTCCACTAACTCCCAGTGGGTCCTTCTACAAGGTCAAGGCACTAACTGCCTCAGAAGAATTCATCACAATCTAGCAGATCACCAAAATCATCATGAGGAACAGTCTGCTGTGTACGGAATGATTTTAAATTTATTTATTTATTAGCCTTATATCCCACCCTTCCACATGGGCTCAGGGCGGCAAACGAGAGGCAAATGCCATACATGACAATTAAACCAAATAAAACCATCAGGTTACATTTTACATTTAAAATCGGTGCTCACAACAATATATCATCCAAGACAGGGACTCCAATGCAATGCTTCAGAAGGCACTACTGTCTCTTCTTGATCAGTCTTAACTCTGTCCGTTCTCCATTTCCAAGGCCAGTTCACATCGTCAAAAATGGCGATGCGATGGTGGTACAGTGACGGTGGCAGCTCCTACTCAAAAGCCTGGTGGAAGAACTCCGTCTTGCAGGCCCTGCGGAACTGCACAAGGTCCCACAGGGCCCTGATATCCTCCGGGAGCTCGTTCCACCAGATAGGAGCTGCCACCGAAAAAGCCCTGGCCCTAGTCGCAGTATATTTAGCATCTCTAGTAGCTGGGACAACCAAAAGAAGTTTTGCCCCAGACCGTAGTGCCCTTGGGGGAACATATGGGGAAAGGCGGTCCCTTAGGTAAGCTGGACCCTGGCCATATAGGGCTTTATAGGTAAGAACCAGCATTTTGAAGCAGACCCAGTACGCTATTGGCAGCCAGTGCAGAACCTTCAGGACAGGCTGGACGTGGTCCCACCTAGGGAGACCCATTAACACCCTGGCTGCTGCATTCTGCACCAGCTGCAGCTTCTGGATCTGCGACAAAGGCAGCCCCATGTAGAGAGTGTTGCAGCAGTCTAACCTCGAGATGACCATCGCGTGGATCACTGTGGCCAAGTCGTTCTGGTCAACAAAGGGAGCCAACTGCCGTGCCAGCCGCAGATGGTAAAAGGCTGACTTGACAGTGGCTGCTACCTGGGCCTCCATCATTAAAGAGGAGTCCAGAAGCACCCTGAAACTCCTAACCTTCGGCGCCGGCACCAGAGGCACCCCGTCGAAGGCCAGGAGAGGGAGCCCCAGCCCTGAACCGACCTAAGCCCAGGACCTCTGTCTTCGCCGGGTTTAGCTTCAGCTGACTCAGCCTGAGCTAACCAGCCACAGCTTGCAATGCCCGATGAAGGTCATCCAGGTCGGAGTCTGACCGGCCACCCAACATTAGATAGAGCTGGGTGTCATCTGCATATTGATGACACCCCAGCCCATAACTCCGAGGAATCTGGGCGAGGGGGCGCATATAGATGTTAAATAGTAATGGGGACAGTACTGCCCCCCTAAGGCACCCCACACTCAAGAGGATGCCTCTGTCCCCGACCTTGGAGAAAAGAGGCAAACCATTGAAGGGCAAGCCCCTGAATCCCCACGTTGGCAAGGCGGTGGGTCAGCAGCTGAGGGTCGACCGTATCAAATGCAGCTGACAGATCTAACAGCAGCAATGCCGCCACACCACCTCGATCCAGATGCCTTCGGAGAGCGTCTGTTGGGGCAACCAGAACAGTCTCCATCCGGTGACCTGGGCGAAAGCCGGACTGGAAGGAATCCAGGACTGAAGCATCATCCAGAAAGCCCTGTAACTGTGTCGCCACCGCCCTTCTCTTTGCCCAAATAGGGCAAATTGGACACCGGCCGACAGTTAGCCAGGTCCAGATATGGCTTTTTTAGGAGAGGGCGGACCATCGCCTCCTTGAATGCTCCGGGGAATCGTCCCTCAATAAGGGACTTGTTGACAATCTCCCGCAAAGCACCCTGAAACCCCTCATGACTCACCTTAATGAGCCAGGAGGGGCACGGATCAAGGTCGCATGTGGTTGGGCACACAGAAACGAGCAATCTGTCAGCTTTGTCCAGGCTGAGTGGGCTAAAGCACTCTAAACCCAGTACCGAAGACTCGCAAAGGGCCTCGAGTTCGCTCACTGTCTCAATCGCGGTCGGTACACCAGCCAGATTGACACACTCTCCACAGCCTCCAGCATCACGCCGACACACTCTAATCTCCACGGACGGGAGTGCCCTGAAGGAGTAAGCCTCCCAAATGAAAATAGCCACTCCTCCCCCCTTCCCCCTAGTCCGTGATTGGTGAAGGACCGAATACCCCGGGGGGGCAAGCTGGGTGAGAGCTACCGTCTCACCTTCCCTCACCCAGGTCTCGGTCACACATGCCAGGTCCGCCTGATGTTCCATCACAAAATCCCGAAGGGTTGTGGTTTTGTTGTTAATGGACCTGGTGTTGCACGACACCAATGATGGAGAGGGGTTATCAATCCTGGCCCCACTGCCAGCCACCCTTGGGATGAGCCGTAGGCTGGAAGGGCGCCAAGCCATTCGCAGTCTCTGCGTCCTTCCCTTAATATCATGCCTAGGCCCACTGCTAAACCTCCCCCTCCCCAAGAGCACCGGAATTTGCTGCTCCGACACAGTTAAGTCCCCCTGGCCGTCTTCGTTATACTTCAGACCGCCAGGTCAAAAGAAAACAGGATGGTCCGCACACCACTCCTGAAGCAACAGGCTAAAACTAATAATGCCCTGCTACTAAAACTAGAATGCTGCTAAAACAATATTTCTAACTCAACCTGATCTGGAGCCCTTGTATATTGTCATGTTATACAAGCCACGAACCCTTATTAAAAGGCACAGCAAATAACTCTAACCCATGTTAGCTATTATTAGCACAAAAAGACAGCTGGAAGAAGAGACCCAAATGAATCTGAAAACGAAAGAGTGAAAGTTTCTTTTATCCTGTGGATCTGTTTCAGTTACAGAAAGTCAGAAGCCCCTTTGAGGAATCAGTATTTCCAGTAACTCATGCTGAGCAATATTTAATATTCAAATTACTTTTATTACATGCATATTTATAGTACAAAGAGACATACTATTAAACATCTGTTAAGAAGGGGGAAAAGTCTTACTTTTTCAACTCCTAAACATTTCAAAGGCTTTTCTGGGTCTCTATCTTTCTTTCGCTCTTCTTTATTTTTTTCCTTTTCCTTCTGTGGGGAAAATATTTTCATTAGTATCTATTATGCATAATAAAATTTAAGTTCAAAACAAGAATTTCACAGCTATGTTGTCATTCAAGATAATGCTCGTATTTCACACTGTCACTCTTATCTAACCAACATCTTCATCCCTACTCTAAACCTTTATGTACTCTGGACTTATACACTAAAATGGAATACCAACCATGTCTCCTGGACTTCTGTATGCCCATTCAATTGTAGGGATCCCCACCCCCCAAGTTCTCTTTAGTAACACAGGAGTACAGCAAAAGAGAGGTTCAGGATGCTGATTTTTGGGGAAGGATGCAAGTAGTTCACAGTGCAGGCATAAAGACAGACTAAGATCTGATGGAAGCCCAGAAGCCCTTAATTAACCGGCAAGGAAGAACAGAAGGGAGTACAAAAGCCTAAGGATCACCCAAACTTTTAAAAGACTGCAACAACAAATCACGATGCTGGCCTGGAAGAGTTAAACCACATTATCAATAAAACAAAATGCAGAAAGCATCTGTACCTAGACACTGTATACATAGTAGGAAGAGGAAATACCTCCATTTTAGCTTTCTCAGAAGCAGCTTGCAGAGGAGAGGATGCCAAAGGCTGAGCAGCTTCAGAGGAAGACATCTGTACAAAGCAGATGAAAGACGAAAAAAAGCACCAAGGCAGATTTAATTAACAGACTACAGGAACAGCCACAAGTTTACTTTACTGCTGTCCATTTATCTCAGAAGATACAGGTGAAATGCAGGGGGAAAAACTAGGACATGGGGGAGGGCACCGACAGAAGAAGTTTGCATTTTTAGGGCTACATGTTTAGGCTAACTTTACTCCTAAATGCCATAACATCCATTTTCCATCTCAAAGAAGATCATTACATTCAGGATGGACTTCCTCAGTTCAATCCAAGTACTGACCATAGCAAAAATTAGTTCACTGTAAAGAGCTGTGCATGTTGTCAGTCACCTCTTAACCTTTTTAAAAATGTTACTAGAGCTAGTTCTGGGGGGTGTTATCAGGTAACAGTGAATGATTTATGGCTGAATTCGCTAGAATATAAAATAAGAAATGAACTTGGATAAGATCACATCACAAGCATGAGGGAAAATAATTAAGTTCCATCCATTGTTCAAATTTTATTCAATGTGACTGCTGAAATATTAATGTTCTGAAGCTCAAAAAGAACACTTTCCCATGGGGATACGGAACAAGGCAAAGATACCTTTGTTCTTGGCTTATTCTTACTGAGTATTTATTTTAACAGTGAAGGGTCATCAAGAACTTTAATTAAATGTATAAGTTTTAAATAAAGCTCTCCATTTGGAAATAGCAAAGAAAAAATGTGTATGGTTATAAGGCAATTCATTATCTAACACCACCAGGCATATTATAATGCAATTCATATAGAGTTCTGAAGATCTGTGTATAACAGCAATAAGCACAGAATTTTCAGCTTTACTTGCAGTAAACTCACCTTGTATATGAACAGATCCAACTAGCACAAATAAGATCAGGTTTATTTATAAGTATTCCCAGAAATACTTCAAAAACATATATATCAAAAATATATTTAAAAATCTGCAAGGGGGACAAACCCAGGGTTAGAAAACAGTTTGCTCCTAATTGAAGAAAAATCCTCCCCTCGAGTTTTGGTTTTGTTTTTTAAATGGGGGGACCCCAAAATTGTACAATTAGTGCTTGTACAGATGCGTATAATGCACTTTAAAAAAAATGCACATTGGAGAATGACAACCAAGAACTCGTGAGGCCATCTTGAGAGATCCAAGCCACCATTTAGGGTTGCCTAGACATCAATGGATAACACTGCTCAGAAAGCTGATTTGCTTGATGCTCTGTGAAGTGTCATAAATGGCAAATTCCACAGAAGTTTCTAAGTAAAGCAGGGGACCCTGGCAATAGCATTAGTGTTTGCCTAGTCAGCCTAAAATGGAGGCCAAGATCTTGGTCAGTATTCAGAAACAGGTGGAGGAGAATGGAAATGCATGGCCCCCAACATAAGGAGAGGGAAAAGACTAAGGGGAGGCAAGGAAAGCTGTAGCCTGGGAAGTAGAAGATGAAACAAAACTGGAACCAGCAGGGTGGAGGAAGGAAAAAGGAGGGGGAAACAGGGGTGGCAAAGGGGAAGGAGCAGGGAGCTGGAGCAAATACCAGTGGACGAGTAACTGACAAAGAGGTAGGGAGCAATGGTACGTCCCCCTCCCCTGCACATATTTGTGGTTCCCCCACTTGTACACACCTACCGAGTAGTCAAAATGACCCACTGAGACAGATCTTTGCTACCTGTACATAACAATACACTTCTGAGTTCCTGTAAGCAAGAATTCAGGGCCCCCCAAAACACATCCATGAACCTGGTCTTCCATCAGCACCAGAAGCTAGGGTCACCTCTTCCTGTCTCCTTACTCAGCTGCATTTTCTCTACTACTATTTCCACCTCTTTGTGCCTTGTGTAACTCTCCATTCACCTTGCTGGACAACCCTGAAACTGTCACCAGTTCCACAACAGCGGTGTGTATAACTGGGTTAGAACAGGGATCTTCAACTTGGTACTCATGGGTGCCACGGTTCCCACTGACACCTCTTCTCTTGCCCACCAAATATTTTTAGAAAGTAGGCAGGGCCAGGCAGGGCCAGGCAGGGCCAGCCAGGCTTCTGATTGGCCATTGGAGCTATGATTGGCTGCACAGATTTTGAAAACATTACTTCAGCAGCAGCTGGCACCACAGCACAAGAATCTTTACTGTGTGACAGAAGGTAAGCAGCAGCTGCAATTGTATGGCTGATGACGTCTTTTGTGGCAGCTTCTGTGTGGTTCCACCCATCACACTGCTTCAGAATTCCAAAGGTGACCATGGACTCAAAAAGATTGGGAACTCCTGGATTATAATATTGGAATAGGACTGATGTGGCCTGGGTTCAAGTGTTCCCTTGAACCACGAAGCTCATTGGACTAGTCACCATCTCAGCCTAACCATGACTGGATTGTTTGGTGGATAACATACATGAAGAAAGGACAATGTATGCTGACTCAGTTCACAATTAAAATATGGACAGTATCATATATGCATGAAGCAGGGGGTGGGAACTGCAGTGTGAAACGTTGCACTTACAATGAAGTTCCCCTTACTGGCACTTAAAGCATTATTTCCTATCCCAGCATAGCAAATTACAAAAGGATATACTGTATAGTTAAAGTACTATTTATTTCCTTCATTGATACTCTGCCTTTCTTCCCAATGGGGACCCAAAGCAGCTTACATAATTCTCCTCTCCTTCATGTCATCCTCACAACCACCCTGTGAGGTAGGTTAGCAAAGTTTCACCTCTGGTACATCAATTGGAAATTAAACCAACCCATGTATCTGTTACAGACAATCCATTCATACATTATATAACAATAAATTTTTCTAATACAGAAATTGACAACCATGTTAGGAAAAAATAAGGCAACTCTGTGCCAGCACTGAAAAGATCTCCACCTCCTATGCTGACTGTATCACTTGAACACATGAAGCTGCACTGTAATGAGTCAGAGCGTTAGCTCACCTATCTTAGTACTGCCTACACTGGCTGGGAGATCTAAGACCTTTTCCTGCTCTACTACGAGCAATCCTTTTAACTGAAGAGATACCAGGAACCAATGCCACTCTTCTGCAGGCAAAGCATGGGTTTGACAACAGAGTTATGGCCTCCCAAATCTGTATCTAACCTGGCTCTGAACATTGTTTAGCCATAAACTCCACATACTGTTATAAATACGCTTAGCACGCCTTTTGTTTCAGGAAACCATTTCTAATCTCAAACCAGGACTGTACATATTTTATTCTTTCATACCAAAAGACCAACTGACCAAGTAAAGATTGGCACAAAAATATACCCAGTAGCTTGGTCTTTTCATACCACAATAGCAAGCAGCTGTGGGTTGACAGCAGCAAGATTCTGTTCTTGGGAATTACTGCACCTAACTTTAAAAAGTCAGGTGGCAGTAATTTATTTTATATTTCAAAAAGTTCAGAAAAAAATCTTAGGGTAAGAAAAGATGGTCAATGTGCTAAGTATGAGCCAAAACCTAATTAATTAATTCTCATGAAGAGTACTAATGCCAGTTAGGGCAACTGGCTGTAAATGATTTGTATCCTCCCTTTCCTGCATTCACTTTGCAGTCAAAAACAGGCTTCCTGATAGGCAAATTCCAGACATTTCCTTTGATCAGCAGCAAAGCAGGTCTAGCCCGCAGTCTTTTTGAGCTCCTACCTCAATACCGCCTGACCATTTTTCACTTTCAGCCTGCACTGCTCAGATTACTTCTCCCACTTGACAATACGAAATTGAAATCCAGTGGTGTGATGAATTAGTACAATGGGATTTCATTTCGGATTAAAATCATTAGCTTTCTTCTGGACCAGTTCTGGAATTTGACAGTCACCCATCTCAGACTCATTTGACAAAAATGAGTTGCCATTTAGCTTGAACTACAGAAGTACCAATCCATGTAGGAATCTGTATCTGCACGATCCCTCTCAGTTCCAACCTAAATTAACAGTCAGGGTTCTGTATTTACAATGCAGGTCACTCACAACAAATTCTCTTTGTGATAATGAAGGTCACTTCCGCCATTCTTCTGTACTAAATTCTCTTTCTCTTCTTAATGCATGGTCAGTCTTTTACTGTGCATTTAATATTCCTACATATAGTACCTCTCACCAGAGATACTTGCACTATTATAATATGTGTGACTATTAAGTTTCTATATGAACATGTTAAGAGAAATTCAGAAGAAAGTAATGGGCTTACACTGCTGACATTAACTGCATTTTTGTCGTAGTATTTCTTCTTCTCATATTTATCCCTGATAAAAAATTCCACAGCTCTGAGGTCAAATAACTTAAGGAAAAGAAAGAAAATAAAAATAAACTAGAGAGTTAATAGTGCAGAACATTTACTTCCTAGATTATATCCCAAGATAAGAGCTCTAAAGACAAAAGTGGATTCTCACACAAATTCTTTTTTAATTACTTTACAGCAAGGTATTTATTCACTGCTCCATTTCACAGAGAATACCTACATCTGGCAATGAAAAAGAAAACGATGCACCGTAAGCACTGGCAGGCCAGTAGGCCACTGGGGGGGGGAGGCTGACAAGGGTGACACCCCCTCATGAATCTGCCCTGCCCTGTACAGCCTTGCCCACCAGCATCCCATCCACACCAGCCTTGCCCAGCACTCAGGCAGTGCTTCACCCACTGGCTGCTCCATCCATGGCACCTCAGTGACAGCAGCAACGGTGGCTTGCTCCAGAGGGCTCTGACAATGACAGCCTGAGCTGTGTGTGTGTGTGTGGGGGGGGGCCTTGAGCGACCTGGATGAGCAGGAGGAGAGGGAGGGAGGCAGCCACCGGAAACAGGAAGACCTGGTGAGGCCACACAGCAAGGCTGACAAGGAAGGAGGCAGGTGGGCGCCCCCCCCCCCTCCCAGTATTCCCCCCCCCCCCGGGGAAATTCTGGCTACAGGGCTGAGCACTGGTATGCAGAAGATAAATCTCTTTCAGTTTACCCTAACGTTAGTTAAATTTCAACCAGGGAGGGGGTGTCTTTTATAGATGAACACAAATTCATCTACACTGTAGGGACAGCCCTGTGCAGTTAATCTTTCTCTATTTGTCATTTTTTGCTATTTTATTTGCTTCGCCAGCAACAGGGTCACATGTTCATGGCAAGTACTTTACTGTTATGCTGACATTAACTGAAGCTAAAAAGCAGTTTAATTCTAAGGACTTTCATTAAACTTTTGTACTATGCCAACATCAACACATAATATTTTAAAAAATCAAAATGAAAACCAGAGCTGAAATATATAGACTGGTTTCCGAGACATGAGCTTGAAGTAATTAACATACTTCAGCGTTAGGATGGTCTGAAGAAGTTAAGCCTTGACAACAGCCAATGGTGAAGATAAAATGGGAATGGTGGAAATACATATTCTATTTATGGATAATGTGTTCCCTGTACTTCTTTTCTCATTTCTTTTCCTTTTTCCCTTCCTATGTTGGTGACTCCTCTATATTTCCTCCCAACACTCCTTACTGTTAACTCTTCCCCAGCCCCTTTATCTTCGCTACTTCCCTTGTTTTTCTTAAACAACTTCAAAACATATTATGTGTCTTTTGTTAAATGGGAAAAAACCTACACACACACACACACACACACACACACATATATATATATATATATAAACTAAGTTCTAGAAAAAGCACATATTCATCATGCTTTTCAGTGTTCATTAAGTTTGTATGTTCACACACAAGTGATGCTGCTTTATACTATATCAGACCACTGGTCTATCAAGGTCAGTGTTGTCTACTCTGAGTTGGGTCTGAAGGTCTTTTTCATTACCTACTTGACTAACTAGGGATACTGCGGTTGAACATGGTTCAATGGTGGAGCGTCATAGCAAAGAAGACACTCCACCATTGACCCATGGCCTTACCCTTTGGCCACGGCATGCCATGGCACAGCATAACCATGCTACTAATAAAAGTACAGAACCAACCAGCTTAAAATCAAGATGAACAGATGCTCTGTGCAGCCAAAACAGAAATTTGCTGAGGCTTTCTGTTCATGAGGTACTTCAGAAAGTACTACTTACCCTTATACTTACTAGTGACAGGTGAAACCCTTCTACATGGCTTCAGACTTGGCTGACTCATTCTTTAAAGCTCATTATGATTCAGCCTAAGGGATCTCCTTTAGTGTTATCAGCCTTCTCATGTGCTAGCTTATTTTACCCTCCCCTTCCCACTTTCCCAGACTTTCCTACATTTATTAAGCTGCACTGGAAAGAGAAGTGAAATGGCAATCCGTTAGTGAAAAGAAGAAGAAAAACTATAGTTCCTGACTCCTACTGGTAACTGTGGAGAGCCACTGCCAGCAGCACTGACCTTGATGGACTAATGGTCTGCTTCAGTGTAAGGCAGCATCCTGTGCTCTCTTCAACAGCAGAGGCACCAACATGCTTAGAAAGTTTTACTGCAGAGGGCTGGGTCATTATCAAGAACCCTTTGCTTTACCTAGTCCTCTTTGGCTACTATTTAACTTCTTGTTTTCACTTGCAATGGACAGAAAATGGACAGATAAGAGGGCCCATTATGAGCACAGAATTTGAAGGATGTCACAGCTTGGCTCATAATGGCTTGGGCACTTCCAAACTGAGGGAAGGTAATTTCCAAACTCTTCCCTCCTCCTGCGGTGTCAAAACATACCGCCACCTTTACATCCAGTGCAGCACTGGAATAACAGTTTTGGCTCCTAACCCTCCATTTAATCAAGACAAGTATTGGGCCAGACATACCATAGGTCTGATTGTTTCCCAAAGAACTAAATCTACACCACAGCCAGAAACCAGGGTTTGTGATTAGTACCTTTAAATTTTAGCTTTTCTGAAGTAAATTAAAATCATCTTGCAGTTCACTGGAAACTAACTGTACCTTTTTATTGGTTTTGAACTCAGCTTTTCAACTTAGCCTTTTAGTGACTCTGTACTGTGTATATTTGAAAATCATCACCACATATGGAATAAACAGTTGAACATCTAAAATGCTCCAATCGTGTCCCAGTTTGGTAGGCTACAAAGGATACTGATCAGTCTGAGGTCTTCGAAAATTCTCTGGTAGATTAGCTTCATAAAGTAATCTTGCCTTGGTATTTCCCATCTCCTGCATGCACTGTAAGAAATGACGAAAAAATACATTGACTGATTTAATACTTAGTTGAACATATTTTACTTTTAGCATATAACACGAAATTCTAAGCATGCTTACTTACAAGTAACCTCCATCAGAAGCAAAAGAACTGAGTATCATGGTTTACAGTTTTTAAAAATGTACATAGTCAAGCTGCTACTTCTGATAGTCCCATATACCCAGCCACTGTCTGTCATCATTCGGTTCTGCTTTTAGCCATTTACTTTTATGCGGCGATATATTCTGTAGAAACAGCAATAACTCCCGGTTTGGCACACAGGACAAAAATACTTCATAATTTTTGAAAAAAAGCTAAAGGAAGAATCCTGACTCCTTGCTGTACATAAAAACCCTGTAGAAATTTCATTGCAGAGTTCAACACTGTTGTAAGTGACAACCAAGACTATAAATGTTTATTTTATGTAAAATACAGCCATTTTGTTAGTATCTGCCTTCCACTTTGTTACTTCCCTCCCATTTTTGCTTTTAACAGCAGAGAACTCTTCTAAAAATTAAAAACATGATTACAATAGTAGATTAAAGCTGCCCACAGACTCGTCACTCCTTCTCAAAGTCTGCCTCCCAGCCATTAGAAACCTAGCTTTCCCCAAGGTTGGGCCCCCTGCTGCTAAATGCCAGGTCAGCAAATGGGAAAACTACTGCCATTCAGAATTTAATCCTGGATGAGCAGGCTGATCTGACATGAGTTATGGAGACCTGGCGGGATGGAGCTAGGGATGTAAATCTGACTCAGCTCTGTCCTCTAGGTTTCTCTATACAACAGCAGGTTAGACCAGGAGGATGGGGAGTCACAGTGGTCTACCGTGATTCCATCCATCTATCAAGGTGCCTCATCCAACAGTCTGCCAATTCTGTGTGCTCCTGAAGGGGCAGGACGGGGATTCTGCTGGTGTACTGTCCACCCTGCTGCTCGGCCATCTCTCTTCCTGAGCTAGCCGATCTGGTCTCAGGCGTGCTAGTGGAAACCCCAAGTCTGGTGGTCCTGGATGACTTTAACATCCATGCTGAGACCAGGCTGTCAGGAGTGACTCAGAATTTCACGCCCTCCATTATGACCATGGGCCTATCCCAAGTGATTACTAGCGCCACACATTTAACTGTGGCATACATTGGATTTGGTCTATTACACTGTGGGGGAGGGTGATCTAGAGGTGCAGGAGTTAAAGCTCCCACTTTATCATGGACAGACCATTACCTGATGGAGTTCAGACTTACTGCTTTTTCTTTCCTCTGCAGGGGTGCTGGACCCATTAAGATGGTCTGCCCCAGGCACTTGATGGATCCTGATGTGCTTGGGAATTTTCCCAACTCGGTTGCTGATGACTCTGTTGAGGCTCTGACCAATCTCTGGAATAGGGAGATGGCCTGGGCTGCTGACACAGGGAGATGCCCTCCTCACTGTCCCACCAATTAAAGATGTTTGTTTGGTGGGTACACAAGAGAGGGCCTTTTTGGAGACAGACCTACAATTATGGAACAACCACCCCAGGGAGGTACACTTGGCCCCTCATTGTTGATCTTCAGGAGGCAATTGAAGACAGTTTCATTTAGAACTGCATTTTGATTGATTTAAGCTTTTATTATTGGCAGTTTTTACTGGCTCTTACTGTAATAAATTAGATTGACAGATCAATCGATTATTGGCAGTTCTAATTGGAGTTTTTAATCTGTGACTTTTATAAGTCTCATAATTGTTGTTTTTGTGTTTTTATCATTATTGTGTTTTTATAATGTTTTATTTACATTGTCAGCCACTTTGAGTTCCACAGGGGGGGAAGGCAGCTAACAATTTAAAAAATAAAATAAAAATAAAATAAATAACATAAAATGACGCACCTGCAAATACCCAAATTATTTAAGCAGGCTTAGCTTTCTTGGTACTGCAGAGAATAAGGAAAAAAATCTTGCATCTAAAACTAACTTTATTAATCTTAAAACTATTATTCTGCAAAATATGAAACACCCAGCTTATCAACAAAAACAAAACACTTCACAAAGCCTGTGGCAACCTATTCTTATCACCATTACCCTGTCCATTATAAGATTTTAAGAGGGCAGATTATAAAAATGCAGCTTAAGTGTCAGGAAGATGATACTTCGCAGCATTTAAAAGTAACTAATTATGTTATTAAAATGTCCTTATCTAATTCTCAGTGCTGCCAAATCTGTGGATACCTAAATCCAAAGACTGGAGCCATGGACAGTCAAGGCAGATCTTTCAAAAAACCCAAACGCCCCAGGTTTACAGAAAAATCTGAAATCTTTTTTAAAAATGAGAAATTATACATCCCAAAATAATAAAGCTGCACCTGTAGTTTAAGAAATAATTGGCCTTATTACCAGCCTTCAAGCCTTGGCTTCTGTCAGTAAATGGCAGTTACACATTCTCAGCCTGATTTACAAGGATGTTGCACAGTGTACTCCAGACCAGTATATTTACATTAAAATGGGTTGTAGCCAATGAACCACGAGCATAGATTTGCTTGCAGAACCAGACCTCATAATCTCCTCCTGCCACAGCAACCCATTCCCACCCTAAATGCTGCCTCTAGCATTTTGCAGACACCAGAAATAGTGCTGGGCATAATGGGTTTGAAATGAGCAGTGGGACTGAGAAAAACCAACACCCTCTTCAGTTGATGGTGGAGATGCCCCTCTACCAGTAGAAAACATCCACTAGATGCACACATGAACATGCAAAGCTGTTTTATATTGAATCATACCTTTGATCCACTTGTATTCAGAGTTCTCCAGGGTATCAGGTACAACTCTTACATATCACCCACTACCTGATCATTTCAACTGGAGACAACAGGGATTGAACCTGGGATCTTTTACATACCAAGCAGATGTTCTTCCTCTCAGCTACAACCCCTGAAGCACTGCTGGTGTGTTTTTTTGATGAACAAAATGATACATTTTACCAATTACAGTTTTTCAAGATCTTCCCAAATCTTCCCCCCCCCCAACAGCACGTCCTAAACCAACTTCATGGTATTTTACCTGTATTTGTTCTGGTGTCCATTGGTCCAAATTGACAGATTTGACCCTGGATATATGAACACCTAAATTTCGATGTATACCAGCACATCTGATACAAATAAAGACACCAGTGTTCCAGGATGCCCATCGGGGACCTAAGGGAGTAAAAAAGATTAAAATAATCCAAGATCTGACAAAACTTAATTTTTTTTGAGGAATATAAAACAACTTTGTTAGTAGCCATCAAAGCTGAAGACAACTAATCCACTGCTTGTAGGTGAACAGGACCACTTTACTTCACAGACTACTGCTCACTTGCAGGGAGCAACATTTCAAAAATCCAGAGAGAAGAGACAGCACAAAAATATAGCTCTACCAACAACATTCAGTCATTTTTATTAGCTTCTCCAGCTATTGTTATTTAGGTTTTTCTTCCACTCAAAATAAAATTAATGTTAAAATGTAATAAATGCTACCCCCATCAGAATACATGTGAATCCAAATGGAAAGATTCACAGTAAAAGCATTGTTAACCAGCACCTGGTTAACTGGAATGCCCAAGACTTATGGGCTCACCTGAGTCACTCATGCTCTAATTGCTTGGCACTGCTGCCCTTTGGCTGCATCCAAAACACTCAAGTGGGGTGGCAGTGAGAGGATAGCAGTAACAAGTAGTGGACACTGGGGTTGTACACCCCACCGGTATTATTTGTTTTGGATCTACTGAACCGCCCAAAATTAAGTATTTCTGAAAAATCCCAGATCCCAATACTGGTATGGTATTCAGATCCAGGATTTTTTGGAAATCCCAAATTATTTCGGGTCCAATAGACCTGAACTAAAAACTAACAGTTAAAAAAACCCAACAGCCTCCCTGGGGTTGAGTTTAAACTGTGCTGTAGGAGAAGCTGGCCCCAGGATCTGCGGATCTGGCTGGGAGGGAGTCAGCCCAGGATTGAGTGCTTGGCAGGCTCTGTTGGGAAGTCTGGTTTAAACCGGGCTGCCCAGCAGAGCCTGCAGGGAGAACTCTCCCTGAAGGCTCAGTTGGGGCTCTACTGGGCAACCCAGTTTAAACTAGAGTGCCTAACAGAACCCACAAAAGAGAACTCTCCCCACAGATTCTGCTGGGACTCTGTTGGGCAGCCCGGGATTCAACCAGACTGCCCAACAGAGCCAGCTAAGCAGCCGATCCTGGGCTGGCTCCTCTTGCAGCTCTCAGCTCCCACCACCCCAGCCGATCCTCAGTATAGTTAAATATACCCAAATAATAGCCAATAAAACCAGCTTTTATTTGGGCTCAGCTATGCTGGTAGCCGATCAGATTATCTGAATCTGTGTTCAGCTTAATTAATACCCGAAAAATACTGATAACATATTTGGGGGGGGGGGACTCAGTTTATGCTGAATGCACACCCCTAGTGGACAGTGGAGCAGGCTGCAGGTCCCAGTCAAGTCCTACGCTTGGCTGCCATCTCCTCAGTGCTGCTGCCCTTTCACCCACCAGGCAAAAGCACTGTTAACTGACATATTTGGTAAACTGACAACCCCCATTCCCCCTGGATGCCAGTTAACAAAACTTTACATTTTTAGAGGATGCTTAAACACACAAGAGTCCTCCAACATGGCACCTGCCAGTTGTTTTTTTAGAAAGTGGGCAGAGCCAGCTAGAGCTTTTTGAGTTTTTTATGTTTATGGTATAATGCAAACAGGGGCTTTATGTACAGTACTGCACCTGTGCACTTAACAGAGCAATACTCTGAAAATACATGGGACTTACTTCTGACAAAACATGATTGGGCTGCATGTCTAAAATGCTTGATGTGTCTAAGTGGAACTTCTATTGAAGTCATTAGAGCTTCTCAGTTTTAATGCATTTTTATAATTCAGGCAGAAGTTGATCACTTTTCTACATCAAATATTTGTTCACTTTTCAAAAATAATTTATGTTCCTATCAAAATGTGACCAGACTCTTTCTTACTGTACACAGGTGCAAGGCACTCTCACCAGCCTTTCAGCACCACCATTGTTACAAACAAAAGTTCTGGTTAAAAATGGCTGGGCTTATGAAAGAAGGGCACATGTAAAGGGGATGGTATTTTTCCCTTTGTATAAATGTGTTAGATTCCTGCAAGCAGGTATCAGGGGATGTGCCTTGTACTCATTTATATAATTCTTCTCATGGATCGGACTCAAAGTGTTGATTGCTGGAGACCAGTTATCTTCAGCTGGGTGCTGCCCTGAGGGCTGCCACACAGTGCAATCTTATCTCCCATGTTATTCAACATCTAAAGCCTTCAAGAGAAATCATTTGTTGTTTTGAAACTAGATGTCTTCAATATGCAGATAACACTCAGCTCTACATCTCTCCATCCAGATTCCCTGGTGACACAGTAAAGATTTTGGGTCACTGCCTGACAGCTGTGGTCAAATGGCTGAAAGTGAACAAATTGAAACTAACCCTGACAACAGAGAAGTGATGCTGACTGGGAAGCCAGAAATCTTGAAGGACACTGTGCTTCTCCACTTTTGATGGAGTTCAGTTGACCTTTGCTGATTTGGTTAAGAGATTAGGGGCTATACTGGATCCAGCATTGCTGCTGGAGAAGCAAATTAATGAAGCTGCAAAAACGCTTTCTTCCAACTCAGTCTAGCCCGGAAGATGGCCTCCTTCCTTGACATGACTGATCTAGCCACCTGTATTCATGCAATGATAACAGCAAGGCTAGATTATTGTACAGCACTCTACAGAGGTCTCCCCTCAATGTCAACTCAGATTCCAGCTGGCACAGAATACTGCAGCTTGGTTCTTATCAGGAGCTAGGTGAAGCATGCATCTTACTATTATTATGTAATCACTTCATTAGCTAATCATCAGACATTGGCTACCATATACAAAACCATTCATGCCTTGGACCCTCGTATCTGCAGAACCACTTCTCTCCCTATGCTCCACCATGACAGAGTCACTCATCTGAAAGGGCATTCTGCAGCTACCATCTGCAAATGAGGAAAACCTACTACCCACAGATGTGCATTCTCTGTTGTGGCCCCCATTATACGGAATGGCCTGCCTGATAAGATCAGGAAGGTTCCCACCTTCCTGGCTTCCACAAACTATGCAAAACTGAATTATTCAGGAGGGCTTTTTTTAACACAGGTAATAGGGCTATACTGTAATGAAATGTTTCAGAAATATACTTTTATTAAAGGGATAGGGACTGTGGACTATGCTACTTTGTATAGTACGCACTGTCTGCTGATGTAATTTCTGCATCCTTTAACATGTCATGTTGATGCTGATGCTTCTTCAGCTAGGTCTCAGGTTTTTTTCTAGATTTCTGCAATCTAAATCCTACTGCATTATTTATTCAAAGTTACATTCCTGATGATTTAATTGTCTTACACTGTATGATCCGACAAGTCTCAGTAAGAAAGGTGGACAATAACTGAATAAAATAAAGATACTGCCAAATAAGGTTTCTTAGACAGCTCAATAGGTATACCTATTTGTGTGTATGCAAGAAAATATTTTTAAACAACATTAATTTAAAGAAGCATCTCTTTAAACAGAGCTTTTGCATAAAATGTTTAAAAATACTATCAGAGTTATATAAAAGCTAATTCCCTGACATTTGTTATTGGCCTTGCCTCCTGTGGCAGCCATTTTGTGGTGTGTTCCCCCATCTGAGTCAAAACTTCAATGGTGACTGAAGGCTGAAAAAGGTTGGGGTCCCATGTTCTAACAAAAAAGTGGAGAACTACAGCTGCAGCAAGTCAAAATGTCTTTACTTTCTTAAACAGGAATACACATGGAAAACATAAGAGATAGTTGTCCACATCTCTCCTTATACATAATTCTGTTTTAAAGTGGCAACATTCCATGCCCTCCCTCAGCCATTGGCCCGTCAGCCGCCACTCAAGAGTACTTGTGTGCCATTGGCCAAGTGCTGGGTCTGCTCCTCTTCCCCATCCACTCCCCCTTCAACCGCTGTGCCCTGTCAGAATTACTGGGAAATGGCTTTCTCTCTTTATTTATATTTTATTTATTTACATTTATATCCCGCCCTACCCCGAAGGCTCAGGGCGGCTAACAAGGGCACTGTGTGCCGGGTTAAAAAAAAACACATATAGTTTAAAAACAATAAATTACAATAAAATACCATAACAAATTAGAACAAATTTAAGCAAGAAGGGGAGATCTTAACCTCACATAGCTACATCCTACGATCTTGTCCTCAGAGGCGTGTCAAAGCGCCTCGCTCCACCCTTGGGGCCAGGCAATCAGATGTTAGTACGCCAGGGCATAGGGGGTACAAGTGGAATAGCGGTGGCAGCGGCTCCTACTCAAAAGCATGGCGGAAGAGCTCCGTCTTGCTGGCCCTGCGGAACTGAGAAAGGTCCCGCAGGGCCCGGATCTCCTCCGGGAGCTCCTTCCACCAGGTAGGAGCCGCCACCAAAATTGCCCTAGTCCGGGTCGCTGCAAATTTAACTTCTCTCAGGCCTGGAATTTCCAGGAGATGACACCCTCCCGACCGAAGTGCCCTTGGGTGAACATATGGAGAAAGGCGGTCCCTCAGGTAGGCTGGACCCTGGCCATTAAGGGCTTTAGAGGTCAAGACCAGCACTTTGAAGCAAATCCGGTACGCTATCGGCAGCCAGTGCAGCGCTTTCAGCACAGGCTGAATGTGGTCCCTTCTCGAGAGACCCATCAACAGCCTGGCCGCAGAATTCTGCACTAGCTGCAGCTTCCGAACTTGCGACAAAGGCAGCCCCATGTGGAGAGCGTTGCAGTAGTCTAGCCTTGAGGTGACCGTCGCATGGATCACTGTGGCCAGGTCCTCACGGCTGAGATAGGGGACCAACTGCCGAGCCAGCCGAAGATGGTAAAAGGCCGCCCTAGCAGTGGTTGCTACCTGGGCCTCCATCGTTAAAGAGGAGTCCAGGCGCACCCCCAAACTCCTAACCTCCGACGCTGGCACCAGAGGCACCCCAT